GTTATATTTGTGAATTTCTGCTTACCAGCCCATACATGATGCGTATATATTTACAGAACTGGCAAACCCATAGATATACACGGGCATTCCTGGATCAATAGGCCAGTAAGGAGAGTTTGGGGATGTTCACACAACAATAGACACCAAAAAAAGGGATTTTGTTTAAATAGCGAAATTCAGTTGAAAATTGTTTTTCAAATATTACCTTTCACCAAACCCTGACAGGTATTTATTTATCAGTGAAAACTGATTGTCCTTAGATGTCACGGATTTAAACCTACTTAGAAGCACATGGTCCCAGGTGAATATCTTGATATTGTACAATGAGGAGCCTGGCGTCTGGTGATTCTATGTATATTTAAAACCAGACTCAAAGGCCAGACTCAAATCGGTTCAATCCTAAAGTACCAAAATATTTTCTCCAGATCGTTCAACTAGATCCATGAGGGAAACAAAACACAAAATACTGCAGATGCTGGAAATCTGAAAACAAAAACAGAAGTCGCTGGGAACACTCAGCAGATCAGGCAGCATCTATGGAGAAAGGAAAGTTTCGGGTCGACAATCCTTCTTCAGAACTGGGGCATGTTGGGAGGGAGAGGCTTTTAAGGGCTAACAGAGAGGGGGGAGGCAGGACAAGGAAGACATCCCCCCTTTGTTTTGCATCATTAACATCTCTTTAACTCATCACCCCCTGTCCTTTACCCCATTTTCTCCATTGTCTTCCTTGTCCTGCCTCCCCCCTCTCTGTTAGCCCTTAAAAGCCTCTCCCTCCCAACAGCTCTGATGAAGGGTCGTGCACCCAAAACTTTGACTCACTTTTCTTTCTCCAAAGATGCTGCCTAACCTGCTGAGTGTTCCCAGCCACTTCTGCTTTTGTTTTTAGATCCATGAGGGAATTGACTGAGCTGCATTCTACCTTGCCAGGTATGCCACCTAGGCCCCAATGGATACAATCAATGAATAGAAAATGCTCACTAGCCTTTTCCTGACTTTGACAATTTCAGATCTGCAAATTTGGCAGTCTGAGGTTTGCAATCTGAATATCACAAATTAGCTTTGCAGAACCTTAACAAAGGGGAATGTGTGACTGGAATATTCAAGAGTTAAGGGTCAGGAACAGCACACAGGGTTGAATTATACTAAAGACAAGTCTACGGTATTGAAAAACTAAAGAGACCAAGCAAGTGACTGGACGTGGAGTTATCAGATCGCTCAGTGATTACAATTACATGAAATTTACAGGATTATTCATTTCAATCAATGGCTAAAAGGAGTACAGATCATATTACACGCCAAAGCTCAACCTGCCACAATGTGAATCCTAACAGTTCACAGCACACGAGTTTCTAAATTTGAATATTCAATATTTCCTAGAAACCTGTAGAGTGCCCTGAAGTCTAATAAAAAAACATATTAATTACAATCAGACGAAATCTAAATTCTTGATTAAGAACATTCCAGGAGTAATGCCCTGTGATGAGATTCCAGCCTTTCACATTGTGTTCCCAAGTATAAATTCCCAAAATGTTTTTCTTTCCTTGCTGACTGTTAGTGGCTCTCTCGGGTCGGTGTAGTTAGCTGATCAGGTGCAAGGGGAAGGAGGGCTATATTTGATGTCAGTGTCCCTGAACTCAGAAGGGGAAAATGCATTCCCCATTGCTCTCTCGTGACCTGAGCTGAATTGAAGGAGTCTGGTGATAAGAGACTATCTTAACTGTGGCATTCAAGGTCAAGTTTGCCAAGCTCAGAGTTTCAACAAGTCTAGGGATCCAGCCTTGTGACTTACTAGCATTCATTAAGTAATTTCCTAAACAATGCTTAGAGCCACTGATATAAGAACAAGTAAGAAACTCTACCTGATCCTGTACTTTGGAGTATGAGGTGAGGCTTGTTAATATATGCTCCTGGAGTATTCCTCCATCTGAAAGAGGTGACTCAAGCTGAGGCAGTTTCTTAGCAACCCTACACTGGTCACAACAAAACAGATAGTCAACATAAACTGTTCTTCCTTCCAACATTTTCCCCTTAACCTCCTCCCCTGAAGTTAGTGAACTCTTGGGGAAAGGTTCCACAAACCATTGTCCAAATCCGAACTTGGACAGATTATTCCACCATCTCAACCAATACCACCACACCTCTTCACCAACATCCCCCCCACACTCACTCCCTGCTGTGCCACTTAATAACAACTAGAGGTCAATTTCTCCCGAGTGCATGATCAAAGAAGTCATTTGATTGCCCCTGAAGCTTCAATCTGTAACCTCAGCCCTGCAACTGAATTGGATACTTTCAGGTTAATATGGGTTAATATCACAGCACATTTGAAGACAGAGCATTGGGTAACTAATAAATTGTTAAGATAGTTTAATTTTGGGGTAGAAAAGGGATAATGGATAATGCTGTTTGTTAAAAAATAAAATCTATTAAAGTAGTTTCTGTTTTGAGATTTCAAAGTTTTAGACAAAGTTAAGCACAATTTCTTGCAAGTCCACAAGCACAAATCATTTGAATGAGGTAAAAGGTAAACTTAATTAAAATTGGTTCCTCTCCACTTTCTTTCTATATCAGTTTTACAAAGGAAACAATAATCACACTGGACTGAAAGGTTGTGCTCTAAATACAAAATGTATTTTTTTTAATAAGTGGAATAATATGCAAAAAGCAGAATAAACTTTCTGCAGTTAAAACTTGTATTCCTTTACTGAAAGGAATGTGTTTGAAATACTAAAAGCTGTATTCAGCTCAGCGTTTATTAATTAAAATTTGAGTTTCGTTCTTGGTTTCCTGCAAAGTAGTCTTATGAATTTATGCAAGGGTTTAGTCAGATTTCATACATATATTAATATATGATACATTAATTCATTGTATAAAATGGATACCAAAATAACTATACAAAACTTGACACCACATTATTTCATCCCTTCTCTTTTATTATTCTTCCCCATCCTTTCCATTTTAGTCTTTCTAGGCGACGGGCATAATGAGCATCTAACATGCCCAAGGACTCTCCCAATGCAGCTTAGTAATGAATGTATGTTATGCAGATTTCCAATAACTTACTAGGTGGGTCTTTAATGGATACAGACGCTTAGAATGCACTTTCTCCTGCACAGAGAGAACTTAAATCTGTTGCATAATTAGAGAAACATGCTAGGTGCATATGCTGGAAGTATGTCCTTGATGGTAGCATTGTAACTTTGCAATTCTTACTGTATTTTGGTGAAGCAGAGTCGGAGGCAATATTTTTTAATTATTTATTTTGTGACTTCCTTACATTGATAAAGCAGCTTTGTGTGTGATTTATCTGGTCATCTTCAGTTTTTCACACCTCAATTTTACTTTCATTGAAGTAACAATCCCCACAATAGAACATATGAAAAATATAATTTAGAGAGCACTTTACAAACACTTGACGATACAATTTGCTATACACACAAAGTAACCCCATCCATATACGTTTCATAATACTGCCACAAGGTAGAAGTAAATACTTGTAAAATGTCATTTTAGTACTTATTTATCAAGAATTTACATGCAGTGATGACATGTTTATGAGTGTTTAGACTTATCCAGAACACTGTTTCCATTTTCTCTTTATGGAGCGGTACCAGAAGTGTACAGTCTATTACAGTCTCTGACTAATACGCCAACAAGATTGGAAATGACCAAATTTATCCTTGCTGTACAAGTAAAACACTTTACCATCTGTAAGGCTAGAAAGGCATACATTGTTCATATGCAGCAGAGTGATACCATGTGGAAAGCTAAACAATTACAAATGGAATGCAGTGAGTTTCAGTAACAAGGCATTGAAGAGCTTATTAATACAAGAGAAATTCACAAAAAATACGGTAACCATGAGTAGGTGTAACATTACAAAATTCCCTTAACAACGACCTCCTTAGCAACATACATTGTCCTTGCAGCCACAACACATTTGGGTGAAGCAGCGGCAGATATTGGCAACACACAAACATTTAACTCTACTTCCAAAAGGTAACTACAAAGTGCTTATAAACCTCATCAGCTGTGATGAAGAAGAGTTCAGTTCCACATATCAGAACAATGTTCAAAGAGGTGCACAAGAAAATTCATCATTTAAAATGTTGCAGCAAATTGCCAAAAGGAAAACATCTCATGGAGGGGGAGCAAATAGTATATATATATATTTTTTAAATGTATTGTGCAAATCCCCTGCACTTTTACTCTCTGTTTTTATTAATAAATTTATAATAGTTTATAAGTTTGTAGGTTTACATGCAGTGGATATGTGTTAACTCATTACTCATACTAACGTACCTTTACTGTGCTAAACATTCCTGGAATTACTCCACATTAACTCTTACCGTTATTGCTAGGTGTGAGTAAATGCTGCGGAGATGTCTGCACCACGCACTTAGGTTTGAATGTGTTACAGATGCTGCATTTTTGTCGTCCGTGTACTTATGCTTTACAGCTCTGAGGACCCACATGACCATTCAGCTTCAGGGTGGTAAAACAAGGCAATACAATTACAATTTAAAACAAACAGCAAAGTCAATTTATATCAGCTTTAAAAAAAATTCAACTTATTCACTGCAGATAGATACTTCAATGGAACATCGGTAGTAATTCATCTTTGAGGAAATAGTTTCAAAACAGCTTTACTTTTAGCACCTTATGGATAATAAAATGGATATAGGTACTATGAACGGATGTGCAGGTGGAAAAAAGCATGTACTCTGTTTGCCAAAGATACATCATTCCTAAAAATACTATTTTAAGCATGCATTAAAAGGGCTCAAATTACTAGTGTTTCAAAGATTGCTGAATTCATCCCATAAAATAAGTGGATATTTCAGTCAGCAATTGCTGGTGATGCTTTGGATAGTTGTTATAGTCCAACCAGCAAACATATATACATACATTTATACTATATATAACATATATAAAGTAATATATATATTATATACACAAATTCACGCACGCACACATACATACACGCGCGCTCACGCACACACACACGCATGCACACAGATTTTATTTACTGCTGCATTTTCTTGATAATATCAGCAGACACCGGTGGGTGGAAATTGATTGTGTGGTGCCGCAGCCCCTGTGCAGTCTTGTAGCTCTTTCCACAGCGGCACTTAAATGGCTTGCGGACACGTATCTGAGTCCGATGGCCATTCTTTGCATGGTATTTTATGCCATTTACATTCTGTTAAAGAAACAAAAAAAAGGAATGGATTATAGTTCACCAGAATAAATGCAGAAGCACAGCTTGAATTAAACAATAGAATTTTTCAAAGGTCATTTACATGATACGCATAATTCTAGTACCGTCGCAAATGAAAGTACTTTTGCTGATGCACTGGAATACAGACACGTGAAATTCCCTTGATGACTATGATGACTACAATATGCTGCTGTTCCTTACAGTCTCCTTCAGCCACCTACGCAATTTCTAGTTAATTTTCATGCAACTGTAAAATAAAAAGGAATTACAGGAAATCTTGCATAAGACATATCAGTCGGGACCATAACATTTAATGCAATTTATGCCAAGTATAAGATATGGGTAAACTCACATAAGTCGTATCAGTCGACTTAATATGACTTACACAAAATTATGTATAAGTTTGTCTTTTGTGACACCACGTCAGTGCTTTCAGAACCAGCACCTCTTTGTTAAATTACTACATTACCTGTATTACATAAATGTCCACTTGACATTCTTAAGCAAAGAATAAGTAAGCACCTCGAGCCATCTTTGGGCCTTTACAATGGACAGCGCCATGATGACGGGTCATGACCTTGTTTCCTGTGCTTTAGTGTTTCAAACGCTGCACTGCACATGCTGTACTTCATCAATGCAGCCGGTAAGTGTGGTCGCGGCGATACCAGTTAGCAGATGATGTGCATTACGATTTAGGATTATTAGGGACCAAGAAACCGTTACAACTTAAGTCATTATTCCAACTTGTAAAATAAAACTAGTGCAAAGATACTTAAGTTTTTTTTGGTAGGAAACTGAATAGGACTCGATTGTATGTACGACTTAGGTGATTATAAGATTTAGAAAGATTACGATTTATAACCAGGCGCCTTATGTGAGTTTACCTGTATTTCAAAAATGTATTTAATTCGTCCGTTTTTTGAAAATAGTTTCTGCTCAGAATTTTACAAGAAATGAGATTCACAAATAAGCTTTACCCGAAGCAAAATGAACAACAATGGAAGTTCATAAAATTCATTTCTCACACACTACACCAGAAGTATTGCACAAGGTTAATCAAGTGAAGTAATATATCATTCAAAAAACCCTTCTCATCGATCTTGGAATTAAAAGAAAATAAGATTTAGTACAGGTATAAACTACATTTCTCTGCTGAAAGTAAATTGTGACATACAAAAGCTAATCCGCTTTGTGTTGAAAGTTTACATGAAGCAGTGACTTCTATAGAAATTATTTGCTTTTGACACTGCAATAAACACTTTAAACAGTTCTCTCTAGTGCTCAGGTCGGGATGATACGCTCACACAGGGTACACTGCCAGCTCTTACAAACAAACACAAATCTTACCTAGACTTTTAATCTTCAACCCATTAACCCTTATTCAGAAAGCTTTTGCTGGCTGCCAAAATTAGGTTTGCCCCAAACTATTAAATGTTTGCAGAAACAGATCAGGAAACCAATTGTTTGTGCATCAGGAATTTAGTGTAAAGATGCACAGCTTGTCCACTTTATATACCAATTGTCATTTTAGTCATCCAGAGGTATTCTTGGATTACCATAATTTATTACCCTACCGTTTTAATACCCACCACAGGAATCAAATGCTTTTTATTATTTTACCAAATAATAAAAGCTCCAGAATTGAAGTTACCCTGAGTTGGCAATCTACACACTTAAATGCTTTCTATGTAAAGCACAAACTAAAAACACTGTAGAAAAGACCGTTTGCACATATTTGTGGATTGGGTTAGTGACACATTTCCGGGGCAGATCATTCTAATTGTCCATAGCTACATAATTCAGTCAGTACAATTAACCTTCTCAAGGTTATGATTACTTAGGTGTTCTTTTCACAAATTAGATAAATTCTGTTAAGAGTCACAGAAATGTACGACACAACAGGAGACAACAGGACACAACAGGAGGCTATTCGGTCCATTTCTTTGTGTTAAGATTTAAACCTAGACCCAATTTTGTAAAATTTGAGCTGTTAAACAATAAAGAATCCTTCGATACAGCCTCACTAATTTAGAGGGGTGAGGATGAAGAAAGCAATAATTTATACACCACCATACAAGTCCAGTCTTTCTAAGTGTACTAATGCTAACTCGGGCACTTTAAAACAAGTGTAATTTCATAACTATTACACATAGAAAGTCTTTGATCACAGTGATCAAAGGAGTCTGGTTCATCACAGACACTATTAATTGTACTGAGCCCATGGAGGTGGTCACAGCTTCTCCATCATTCTTTGTATGCACTAAAGTCTCAGCTGCTGGTTTCGCACCACCAGTCTTCTAAGTTCTGCCAAGGTATCAGCAGCTCTACTTGAATTCCACACCTGGTTCCATGGACTTATTGCAGCATTAAGGAGAGAAAATAATAGGTCCTTGTTGTCGATGAGAAGGATGCAATGGTGCTTTAATAAGAAATTAATTTCCATTCGTAGAACAGTTTGTAAATGCTACATTAAATGCACATTAATAATTATAATTTATTGTTTCACATGTTTTTCTCTTTCAGGTCACGTTTGCTTTGAGGGAGCAGTTGTCTTATTTGAAATAACATCTAAACATTCCAAGCAGCAGGATTTTATTACCTTCCAGATTAAGATCAAGGATTTCATCTAATGTGAACTCTCAGACAGCATGACATGAAATGCTATTAACCAACCTATAATCTTAGAGTCAGTGTCAGATAAAGGGTTCTTCCACATCTCAAGCCAATGAAACATCAGACTCAAAGTAAAAGTAAATGAAACCAATCCTTCTCTGATAAAGGATCAGGCATTCCAGCCATACCTCCGAAACAGCCTTAACTGAAAAGCAGTAAACTCAGCAAATTCAAACAGAAACCAAAAATAAAAAAGTGAAATTAGATCTCTCTGTCCATTCCAAAGGACTACAAATTGAACGGTAATTCACTGACAATGTTACTCAGCTTTTGCACAGTTTTATTGTGTAGGATCTTAGCTCCAACATGCAAGAATAAAAATACTTGCCGAAGTTACCAGGGTCATTTCCCAGTTTGCTTTAGCAAGTTAATGGAGAAGTGGCTGAGTGCAGTGTGAGCTGTAAAACAAGTATTTTAGAGCATTCAAACTATAACACTGAAGTACTTGGTGAAGTAATAGGAGCAATTTAAGCACATTGGTACAAGATTAAACTGCATTTTTTCATATAAGCACAGTGACAATACTACTTTGTATATTGCAAGATACATTTACATTAGAGCCCCTTTAAGTTTTGTTATAATTCGAGTTTGCTTATAGGAGTGATGGATCCCGAAATTTACTTTTCGAAAATCAAACATATGCAGCAGAGAGCCTGCCGGCTCCTTCAAATTGTGTTGTATCACTTCAAACCACTAGCCAATTTCACCAGTCTTCTTTCTTGTGAGAACCCGCAATGGCATCTAAATACATTTTAGTGGGGTAACCACTGCTCATTAATTGACAAACATATCTATATTTCAAACAGCATTAATCCAGGGAATCCAACCTCCTATTCCTCTTGCAAATAGCTTTGCAGCCCAAAATCTCAATGGTTGCGTGTGTATTCTATAGGGGATTCCATGGAGAAACACTGTTTATGTCAGAGGTGCTGAAAAGCTCTGAGACTCTACCCTACACGAAGGGCGCTATATAAATGCAAGTTGTTGCTATTTTTGCTTTCATCCCGGCCCTGGTGGGGCAAGTAGAGCTTTTGAGATGCTGAGCGCAATGAACTACACTGAGCGCAGATCCAGTTTCTCCTGGTGGACAGGATCATTAGGGCCTTCATTCCAGTCACCCCTTGTTACAGGATTAGTAGCTTGGTCAAGACATTCAAGGAATAGCCTTTTGACGCAGAAGGTAAATAGCAGTGGTCTGAAGCTTCCCAGCAACAATCAAGCTATTCAGATTCATTTGATTTGTTTGCTGTGCTACTCTGAACCCAAAGCTGATGTCAAGTAATTGGCGAACTGCCATCATACAGATTTACTCCATCTATGAAGCTCAGTATCTGACATATACCAATCTCCCATAAAAGCAATGGACAGTCAGAAAACTGTCGAGGGAAGTCCCAGTGGTATAGTGGATAGAGCTGCAGTTTACAGATTGGGAGCCCGATGGTTCAAATACCTGTATGTGCTGAGTTTGCTGGCCTCAGCCTGGGCTACCTGGGAGGGAGGCTAAATTTGCTCCAGTCTTTCTAGGACTAGGGAGGATAAAACCAGACGGTATTCCTGGTTCTCATCCATCTTCAGTACTGTCTACAGTAATGCATGTAGCTGGGTAGAAAGAGGTCAGGTTTAGCTGTGGCACCCTCTACAGTCAAGTGGTGGGCCAACACTCACTGCACAAGACTCTTACATGAACAAGGGCTCTTTGGGTGGGTTACCACAGGGTGGCTAGAATGGTGGAAATACACGCTAACAAGAGGAAGCTGAGGACAAGGAGCAGGGAGCCATATACCAATGCAAAGATAAATTAGAACAAATAATTAGTCCTCATTTCTCTATCTGACTCAGTTTCCTACTTGGCAGTGCCTTTAGTAACCAAACCATCAGGGAGATAACTTTTTAAAGTTGCTCTTGGATTTCCCACCAAATATGTAGTTTGATGGCCTGCTCTGGGCTCTGGAGCCTGTGCCATTGTGTAGAAGATGCCCAAGAGTGATTCTGAATCTTAGTCTCACACTTTCTTTCCTTTCCTGTGGGAAATCTAACCTCAACTTGACAGCAGAGAAAAGAGAGCAAACTTATTGTGTGAAGAACTGCAGGACAAACCAGCATTCTATACCTCATACGAACATGCAGGAACCCCATTTTGACCTATCACAGAGTTGTTCAAGCTATCCTGGGATCATGAGCATATTGATCTTAAGACGTTTCCTAACGGTCCAAGCTAAATAATTGTCTTTTGACCAGAAGGTTATTAAAAAAGAATCCTTGTGACAGGGGACTATAAAATACCATTGTGGTCAAGACATCATAGCAGATTCATTTTCATGTGCCTTTCCTTACATTATTTGAGTATGCACGGGAGGCTCCAACTGCAATACCAAATTTGTACTTTAAGATAATTGTTTTCTGAAATAATATCAGTCAGAATATATTTAGCAGTCATTCTTGTTTTAGACGTTTTAATACACTGACTATCCATTGGTTAACATATTTATTGTATTTATTAGAATATGTAATCATGTATTTATAGCAATTATTTATTTGAAAAAATGTTTGCAATATTGTAAATATTCCCTACAACAGTGGCCCTACTGGTAATGTGATTATGATACCAAGCAGGGTTTTCATCAGTTTTATTTGTCCTGTCCCGTACTGGCTACATGATCGGTACTTAAACAGCAAAACTCTGGCAGTAAGCTAGGAATCCAACATGACTCAGAGCTGAACTAGTATACAATAGTAAGCTAGTCAATTGCTAAAAAATAACTCGCTCATGTAAATATAGAACATAACTGGCGACTGGGAGTACGTTATGAACAGTTACATTATCCAGTGGTGGGATAATAAAAACTGCTCAATTTTTTATGTTATCAAACTCCTCCATTTCACAATGGTCTAATAACAAATACACAAAATCAGTTTCTGTGCATTTAGAGTATGAGCTCAGCTCTCAGATGTTCCCTTTATTACTGCTAACACCTTGGTTGATTTAAATAAATATTACTTTGTAATTTAAATACTGTTACTTCACTCATGGCAAATGCCCACTGTCTGTAATAAAGATCAACTTACAATGCGTTTTGTATGAAAGGCCTGTTACTTTGTTCAAAAAAAAGCTACGCATATGTTCTCTAACACTGACAGAACACGCCACATTTTATTTTAAAATACACAATTGGATTTTAAGCAATGAAATACAAACACAGTTGAAGTTTTACGGTATGCTCTCTCATAATTTCAAAAATCAGCTTTGTCCTATCCGCTAGTTCAAGACCTGACATTCTGTTCGATTGCCTTATCCTAATCTATAGACAGAGGCGGGCAGTGCTTATTCTTGTGCCTGTATCCATGTCATCAGGCCCACCACGGATCATTAATTCGTCCCAGTCTGGCTGCTCACGCACTAATGGTGTGCGAGACAGCACTGAGACAGCCCTCCTGAATTTCAGATGAAGGCAGAGAGATTCCAAGAGCAGACCAGGAATGATTTAGTTCTAGGGGCAATTAAGAAAAGACTGGCCATCAAACAAAAGCACAGACAGGATGCAGCAAATTACTGGGATTTTTTTTGTAAGAAGAGCTGCTCTCCTCACTGCTTCAGTAATCTCAAGGGAAATCATCTTTCTGTACAATCACCATGGATTGTTTGCTTCTTGAACCAAGTATTGTGCCTTTACAATGCTCCTGCCCTCAGTACTTCTTCAACTTCAACCCTACTGTACATTCAGTCGGATTGTAAAATAGCCATCATCATCATAGATTTGTTTTACCTCATGTTAAGGATTCTCAGAACACATACAACACTAATAAGGTTAAAAAGCTTACTATGTTTTATTCCATCTGCTACAATTTTACATTTGTTTTACTATGGTTGCTGGAGAACTGCCTAGAATGTCCGTGCAAAGAAAAGTCTCATGTAATGCAATGTTTTCTATAATTATCACATTGTTTTCTAGATTGACAATAGGTGTAACAAGTGTAAAACTGTCATTAGTGTCAGTTTACATTGAAGTGAAGTGGTATGAATTCCGGCAGTGGAGTAAACTGGGGAGGGAATGCTGATTTATATTTCCTGCTCCTCAATCGGATTAGTAAGGGCTGAGGAGAGGTGTGCACATGTGCAAATAAGCAGAGCTGTGATAGCGGGTGCTAAGAGTTTTAGTATTATTAAAGAGTTGATTGTTCTGCTTTTATACTGCAATGGTGTGACTCAACATGCTGTCAAATCCACTTCTTCAAGGAAATGAAAAATACAAAACTGGATATTTCAGTATCCATGAATGTTTTATATCCATTAATTGGCCAGTGTGGAGGGGTAGCACGCTGCGATCAGCAATGTTTGGTACAGTAGTGCAATATGATTCATTCCTCTAAGCTCTGCCCCACCACAGGGTGAGAATAGAGAAGCAGGCAGAAAGGAAAATCACAGAAACCATGGGCCTCATAGCCAGCTGTTTAGATAGCAGTAGTAGAGGCTAAGGAGTAGTTTACTGGCTGCCTGCCAACAACTGGCCTTGATCCTGGTCCAGAGAGACCAGGGCAAAAAGGGCAATGATTTTTTTCCAAAATAGTCTTTCACTGCAACTTAAAAAAGAGTTGCAACAGATTGCATCGCAATCCGTGCTTCTGAATAGATGTGTCTGGTTGTGTAGAATACATATAGACACCCTGCCTGTGTGAAGTGCACTATGTAAATGCAAGGTGTTATTGTTGTTGTTGAATATGTGGGTAGACTTGATCACAAAGGAATTATAAGTTTAAATAAAATTAATCAAGCTTATTAACAAGTTTCTAGTACATATGAACATAAGAATTTGCTTGGCGAAAGAAGATCAAGGTCCACTTAGTTCGCCTTCCACCATCCTGGCAGTTGCTTGATATGTCGTGTCCCAAACTGTATACTATATCCCGAGATATTATTTTCTATCCCGATATATTATACATTGATACTGAATTATTGACATTTTGCAGATCCCAATTCAGTAGCTTATCTTTGTGCAAAAAGTTTTTTAACCATGCAGCATACCTTATATCTCTTTTTACATCCAGGAACAGGACAGGCAAAAGGTTTTTCTTCTCCTCCATTCATGCACATTGAGCTCAGAATAGCTTCTGAACTAATTGCACTTTCTGTGGTCCAAGACTCATCACTATCTGATTCTTCGTAGTCCACCTCTTCTTCATCATATTCACTACCTACATTAGGAAAGATAGATTTTTTAAAAAAGATATAAAACACAGAAAAGCAAGTCAATAATTTCATAAAATACCTTCATTTACGTCTTGCAGTTCTTCCCTTGTTTCCATATCACTTCTAGATGCTACCATCACCTCTAAGTGTTCCTTTCTTAGTCACTTACAATCTGGACTTGGGACAAAAACCACTTCTTCATCGTCACTGGTTTAATCACACTGTTGTGGGAAGACTCATCACAAGGACTGCAAAGAGGCCAATTGCCACCTTCTCAGGGAAACCAGGGGTGAGTGAACAATAAAAGCTAGCCCTGCCCAGGGTTGCCCACATCCAAAGATGATTAAAAAAGCAGATTGAACAGTGCAGATACTGTATAAAGTCTGAGATGTGATTGGGGTTTCTAAACCTGTTCCAACACAAAGTCCTAATAGCATTAAATAAAAGCAGCACCTTGTGCCACTTGAGTTGCAGAAAACATATTTTCTGCAGAGAAAGGAGTCTTTCATCTCCCTATTTTTCCAAATCATTTTTTAAAATTATCTTCCAGGTTTCTCTACTTAAGTTTTTTTAGACTAAAGGCAATGCCCTTCAAGGACCATATGTGAGATAGCACAGCATAATTCAACTCCTTGTGTTACAGACATTGGATCATGTCGGGCACTCATTCTGCTTCACGATTCCAAATGTCAGCCAGAAAATACACATTATGGTGAATCAGAATAGAAAACTGGCTGCTTTCTCACTGCCATAACACAAAGGCTCTAACAACAACTCGCACTTATACAGTGCAGCGCCGCTATACTGCAAATTTGCTAATAATGGGGTTGGTTCATTGTGCTTGCAAGGTGGGAGGGTGCAAGACACAGGGACTTGTGGGAGAGGCATAGTGGCTGTGAACTCAGTCACCAATGGTGGGGCGGAGGGGCATCCAGCAGGCTCAGGCTTGCAGAATAGAGAGAATGGGACTGGAGAAAATTGCAGAAATAGAGTGGGGCAAGGTTGTGGAGAGATTTGAAGATCAGAGCTAGGATCTTGGAGGTCAATCTAATAGAGAAATTAGTGGAGCCTGGCGAGAATGGTGGTAAAGTGTAGTGTGGAGGTTTTAGGTAAGTCTGCGTAGTTTTAGATAAGTTGGAGCTTATGGAAAATTGAGGTAGGGAATCCAGCAAGGAGAGCATTTGAGAAGTATAGTGTAGAGAAGTATAAGGTGTGGATGAGGGTTTTGGCAGATTGGGATTGCGTATGGGTGGAGGCGAGTAAGGTAATCTTGGTTACAAAGCAGAGATAAGGTTTGAAAGAAAGCTGTGGATTGAGCAAAACTAACAGTGCTAGTTCAGTCGGAGCCAGCGATGAACGTTAAAAGACTTTGTTTCATCTGTGCTACTTAACAAATCAGTTTGTTTGAAAGAGCAATATATAGTTGAGACAACGATAACATTTACAAACCATATTTATCAGTCAGAACTGCAACTTTGTGCTAATTATTTTTAAACAATACTAGCCAAATTTGAATTATTGTTGATGAGTACACTCGAATTTTAAAAGTAAAATTTTAAAACATGCATTTATGGGATAATGCAGGCTTAAATGCTACAGTGTATAAGTAAAACTTAATAGCTAATAACTGATTTTGAAAATTGCTGCATCAGTAACCTTGAAAAAAATTGGCAGCATTGCTTCAGCAGAGTAGCCTGGGCAGTTTGGGTGCACCTCTGTTTGTTGCGGACAGATGTCTTAAAGGGCTGAAGCAGGACTGGCATTTCCCAAGAGCAGGATTTGAATTTCCCTGTACTTCAACAAGCTGTCATTCACAATATCTACACTGTGCTACCACTGAGGTCTTTGCAATACATGAGCCTGATAATGGCTAAATTATTTAGAATACTGAATGGTGTAACTTTTACCCTTGCTGAAGATGATAGAAATGGTACTTTGCATTTTGTAATTGTAACGCATTATCTCAGTATTGAAGTGGTACAAATAGTTGCTTGCAAATATATTCACTAACAATTGGTTACAGACTCATCTCTAGGTCAGGAAACTACACATCATTGGCAGAGACTTCAGATCCTATAGCCCTAACCTCTCAAACTCCCTCCTTCTGTCTAGCCCACTATCTATTTATAAATTCTGCCTTAAAACCTACCTCTTCAACCTCGTCTATAGTAACCTCCCATTCCCCCCCCCCCCCCCCACCCATTTCTTGCTCACCATCCAACTTGTCCTTGCAAAGCATTTCAATACATTACCCTATGTGAAGGGAGCTGTACAAATTGTTGTTGTAGGTTTGTGAGGACTTAACAATATAGTCCAGCCTGACATTCCAGATCAGTACTGAAAGAGTGCTGCAGGTTCAAAATATCACCCTTCAAATGAGATGTTGAATCAGGCCTGCATTTGCCTATCCTTGTGCTTCGGTAGAGGTTAAAGATTTCAAGGCATGATTTTGAAGAAGAGCAGGGAGCTTTCCGGGAATACTGATTAATATTCTTCGCTCAAAATACCAAGTGAATTGGCCAGCCTATGCAGTACAGATAAGTCACCCATCTTTTACAGTGAATTACATTAGATTCGTAAATCCAAGATGAATATTTTAGCATGTATCAAGGCAGTAGAACAAGAGCATGTATGTTTAGAGATGTAAAGGGCAATTTCAAGAGGTTTTTCTTTATGCAGAGGGTATTCAATGACTGAAACTGGTTGCCATGAGAGGAGCTAGCAGCCAGGATACTGCACTCATTTAAAAAGCAGATTGAAGCCATGATGGGGGAAGGTGTTCTGAAGGGATGAGATCGAATAAGTCAAAGGGTCTTCTTCATTCAGACCATTCAGGTGATTTTGTGAGAACTTGTAAGAACCAATTTATATTTTTTATAGTGCATTAAACATCAAAACTTCTCAAAGCTTTAAAGTGATTGGTGTGAAGTAATGTGTAACCATTTTTGTAGGAAAATGTGGCAGCTATTTTGAACACAAGGTATAATGTATAATTTATAATTCTGAATAATTTATCTGGAAGATTGTTGACCATGAAAACGGGAGAAGCCCCATTCTTCTCTTAACCACTAATTAAAATAATGGGGAAACCTCTCTAAACAATAATTAAAATTGAGTTGGCACTCTATGTGCTTCAATTCTTTTTCTAAAAAAAATCTTTTGTGTGTGTTTTTTAAGCATAAATAAAACTTACACTTTTGACACATTTACAAAAACAATTTTAAGCCTGATCACAAAACATGAAGAATGACTAGTCTTTTCCCTGTTGTCTCTCAAACTGTGCAGCCTTAAGGCTGTGAGTTAGCACAACTGGTTTAAGACTTATTTTAAATAAAAATGTCAGTTAGCAATGTCACATAAGCTACCTCCCACTGATCTTTTTCCTTTAGGGTAAGAGGCCAAGACTGCCAAACAATTAACTTATGATCTGCCCAACCACAAGCAGCTTCCAGCTAGCTGCTTATGACTGAAATCAAAGATACAAAGAAGTGGCTTTCATTAATGGATCATAGGCGCACTTAACCCACTTTAGATGAAAAGAGTTGTACTCCAATGCCCACAGCATTACAAATACTTGCTCACTCACTCCACTATTGGGAGACTAAAAGTAGCAAGCTTTCATCTTTTCATTTTGGAGGATATGACAAAAAAAACAGTGCAATCATAGCAATAATCGTGAAAGCAGGCAAAATACAGCTTATGAAGCTGTTTACAACAGTGAAGGCAAATATATACATAGATGAGTCTATTGTGGAGAAATCTAAACGGTACAAATTACTGTATTCCTTTGGGGATGAAGACATGGTAACAGAGAAGAAACTGAGACCCCAACATAAAGAGGGGAAGGTAAGTGAAGCAAATGATGTAATTAGGGAACATATTGGTTCCAGTGTTGAAAGGCCATTGAAGGTTTTGAAGAAATAAATTGTTGTATAGAAGAGACTGATTCCCTTAGTGGAGTAAAAGCTGTAAAATATGAGATACAATCTGGGAAGGAAACTGCAACCATTTGAAGGGTAGGTGGCAGCTGGACAAACCATTGTTATAAGAGACTAAATGGTGAGTGTTGTACATTAATAAGACTATAGCTTTCTGACAGTACAGTAAGGAGTATCCCATAAGCAAATGAGAGAAACAGAGTTAATTCAGGTGTGGGTAAGACAAGTTATGACAAATAACATAATAGACACAAGGTTTGACAAACTAAAGAAGGATTATATAGGGTCGTTGTATTATAGGGTTGGAATATGTAAGGTTACATTTAAACAGGATTTGGAGGGAGTGGAAGCATATTAGAGTAGACAATAAGGAGTTTAGACCTCTAAATGTCCATGGGAGATGTTCGAATGCTGAATGAAAGGTGAAGATGTAACAAAAAATGTAACTATGTGTTTGCTGAAAGGCTAAGAAATAAACTCTCAGAGTTAGAGATAATGCACATGGAACCAGACACAACACTGGCATTACCATCACAGAAACATTGATGAGTGAAAGATGCTCACAAGTTGAGGTTTGTGGAGTCCTGTAGCTCAGTGGTTAGAGCACTCGCTTTGCAAGTGAGAGACCTGAGTTCAATTCCAGTCAGAGGGCGAAACCTTGGGCAAGTTTCCTTACTCCACACACCTAATAATGATCCCTCCAAAAAAACGAAACAATAATAAATTGTTCATTTTCAATCTACGACTGTTTGTGGGACATTGCTGTGCGCAATTGGCTGCCGCGTTCGCCCACAAATATACAGTCAATTCAATTTACAGTATAATCTGTGAAGCGCTTTGGGACATCTAGAAGACGTGAAAAGCACTATATCAAATGCAAGGATTATTATCATTATTATTATAAGGGTAAAAAATATTTCACAAAGAAAGACCCAAGAAGCTGGCTGGAGGAGTAGGGAAGGATCCTTGCCTCTGGTTCCAATAACCTCAACTTTTTGGGATGCTTTCTCCAACTTGCTGAGCCAGAGTGCGACCTTGATGTTCTTTTCAACTTTCAGTTCTCTTTT